TTTGGTCTGGGCGTCATGACTGCATCGTTGGCAACGAGTATACCAGATTGTTATTGCCGAGTATATATATATACTAGATTGCCAGCTCAAAATATCAACACATTTTTAGCAAATATAACACGTCAAAGATATCCATAACAGACACCATCTCAACAAACCGGATTTGCGAAATTTGATTTGGAAATACAACAGCTGGCAAGGCTGCGTGACAGGCATGGCCCGTGATACGAAAGGGACTGAAGCGTGGCCAGCCCGTAGAATAGAATAGAAGTGTCTGCACTGAAGAAACAGGCCCATGGCCAGTTGCCGATTCTTGTACTTTTCGTGACTTGATTCACAAGGGATCCGGCCTTTGGAACCCGATCTTTCCATAACTGACGATTGATTGAGATAGCAGCTGGACTTATTGCCTGGTCCGTAATTTGCTAGGCATTTTATGACTGAACATATGCTCCTGCATAGCTTCGTCTAGTCTGTTCTTGAAGGCGTTCATACTCGGAGCGTCAACGATGCTATCAGGGAGACTGTTCCACATGTCGGTGACTCGAAGCGAGAAGAAATGTTGTCGCATGGATGCGTTACAACGCAGTTTTTTTTACTTTATAGCCGTGGCCCGTGACCGGACTGAACATGTGAATGGAAATGGACAGTGACTGGCATATATGTACTTGGCATGTGCTGACAATAACGTGTGAAGTAAGCCTAAATATTTTCAATTTAGCCAGAGCCTGAGAACAAACAAACAGCTTCAACGTCGTGATTGATGCTATAATGAAGAACACAGGAGTGCTGGTCAGACTCGCAGAGGTAGGCTGCACGAAACGTTCCCGCGTATTTTGAAGAAGTCCTCAACGTGGAAACACCGTCACGAGCGTGGCATTATGGTGTAATAATTACTTCTACGCTCCCCACTCCCAGAAGAGGGTCCTTAAGTAATATTTATCACACATGTCACTAAAGAAGGAAAACCGTGGAGGTGCATACATGCTTTGGTGGGGAATGAGATTCTAGGATCGAACTGTCGAAACTTGATCAAGCGCACGTAGCGGACTAAGTTCATGTCTCGTTATCTGTGATTAGTGGGCTAATTAAGGTAGAAAAGCAGTCAGTGAAGTTACAAACTGGCAAATATTCCCGATATTACAGACGCTGGTAGAGTAACTACCCCATATAAATCGGTACTTTTCAGCGCATTTTCTCATTTATGAAAAAAATGCACTATTGTGCTCGCCATGTCCGTCTGTCTGTCTGTTTGTCCGTCCGTCCGTGACCTCAAGTTTTCGTCGACGAAAAATGCGCTCTCTGTCACTCACTGCAGTGAGTACTGAGTTATATTTTTTTTGTAATTGACCGAGCAGCTGGAGAGGGGCTATAGGTACTGATACGTGAACCATAATTTGAATCGAAAATTCCATCCTTGGATCCATTCCATTGAACTGGTCCTACAGTGCCAAAAACGGGTAATAAAAAAAATACCCTCAGCCGAGGGTCGCCCGCTTGTGAGGTTAAAGGTAAATCAAAAGCCTCGGTCTGTTCGTGATTTATACTATAAAGACGGCCATGCTAAGTCACAGACTCTAGCGGGAAAACCTCGTCTCGGATGGAGCTGCTCAACCCAACATGACAGCTTTGCCTTGGTTACACAAGATTGGTGCTAAATTAACCTGAATTTTCAAGAGAAAAGCAAGATGCAACAATCGTTAAGTAGGACGCAAGTTCTTAATTAGGTTCATAATTTCAATAAAAAATCAACTATAGCCCTGAGAAAAATGTACGAATCCAATTGTCCAATTAGCGACATTCTTTATTCGACATGAGCAGACAACGTCTTTTTGCCAGCCCAAACAGAGTCAGAATAACCTACTCAAGCTCATTTGGACAAAGATTCGCTCATTTTTCTTAGTGCATCGCTGAAATTTTTTTAAAGTGATTTTTACAGATTTTGAAATTTACGATTACCAAAAATTAAATACAAAGTTTTTACATATTTTGAACACCAGGCATAATTTTAATGCGAACAGGAAATAATTGGTCTGTCATCACTGATATCACGTGGTTGGATTTTTTTTGCTTTGCCGATGTCGCCAAACATTTAAAAATAAATGCAAGCGATGTCAGCCATTCAACATATCGGCGAGTTAGAGATTCAAGTTCCAACTGAAAAATTTCACGATGGAATGCAACCGAAAAAGTTCAGCGTGTCCACAAAACAAAAAATCAAGATGGCGGTCGAGTCAGAGAAATTCAAGTAGCCGTTAAACTTAAAAATTAAGCCTTGCATTTTTCGAGGAACACTAAGATGGTTTCTGTTCAAAATAAACAGACAAAATTAGAGAAGTATCACTCAAACAACTAAAGAAAGACAAATCACTTATAAAGTGAAAGTCTTGTGCTGGAAACAAAATTGTTAAGGTCACCCATTAAAACTGCTGTTCAATAATGGTTAAGTCACCCATTAAACTGTTGTTCAATATTGCCAAAGTCTCCCATCAAAACTCCTGTTTAATATTGGTAAAGTCACCCATTAAAACTGGTGTGTATCAAGTTAACACACGTTACCTTCAAGCAAATAAAAACAATTAGCTACTAATAACCTGCCATTAACTTGCTTTCACTGAGCACATGCGGACCTGATGACAAGCAGAGGAGATTAAGCGATGTTATCTAAGATACAAATTGAATTAATCAACATGCAAAGACGCATAATTTTTATCTTTACACGGCGATTGGCTTGCATAAAATTAGATTACATCATAAAACATTCAATATCAAACGCGTAAAAACAACGCATGTCCACCAGTAACAACATGGCAGTTGGTAGTGAAATAGTTTAGGATAGTTACCCACACATACGTGACAACGTATCATAACAATCAATATTCGAGAATATTTCCAAGAAATTACGTTTCATTTCAATTTAGAAGAGTTTTGCCAGCAACATTTGAAGGTTTTTAAAGAATTTGCAATATTATTTATTGAAATTGTTATGATTTTCACCGTACCAAATACTCATGCGAGCTGACCTCGGCATTCCCGCTTTTAGAAAAGTCACCCCTCCTCCTAGCATCGCGATGTGTTCAGGCCGCCGTCACATCACCAGCAAAACAATATAGCGCAACAGTTGATGAATTATCATCTAAATCGAACCTTGCACTCTGATAATAAGGCTAGGATATTCCTTAACTTACTTATCCTGATATTAATGCTAGCTACGCTTACACAAATAACATCTAAACTAAAAGCTACAACGAAGTTCAAAAACAATCCAAGCATCCAGGTTGCTTCACGAGAACAGATTTTATTTGCGAATCTTAGCTCGAAATCCAATACAGAACTTTATACAAAAGTTATACGTCAAAATTGGCAAGGGGGATATTCAAGGTTCACGAGTCATGAAAAGTACGGTGAGGTTTTAGTAACTTGAGATGATAAAAAAACATGAAATGTTGAGATATAGTGAACATCAACATGGCAACGGAACGTATCCATGGCAACGGGACGTATCCATGGCAACGGGACTTATCCATGGCAACGGGACGTATCCATGACAACGCCACGTGTCCATGACAACGCGACGTGTCCATGACAACGCCACGTGTCCATGACAACGCCACGTGTCCATGACAACGCCACGTGTCCATGACAACGCCACGTGTCCATGACAACGCCACGTGTCCATGACAACGACACGTCACCATGGCAACGCCGCGTCACCATGACGACGTCACAGTTGCCATGGCAACACAATGTCACCACACAGGCTAACTAAAATAACACGTAAAACAAATCCAAACAAACGTGATTTAGAAAATACACTGGCACTAAACAAGCAGGCTTGAAAACACACTCAAGTACGTTATCAAAGTACACACGAAATAACTTTGTATTAACTCATACAGGATGCCAGTGGCCTTTACATACACTCCTCATTTACCTTTAAGCATGCGTTGAAATTACCGTATTTACATGATAATTCAAATGACGAACAATAATATCCTGTATGATATTCGTGATTAATACGAAAAAAGTTCAATACACAGAAAGGTTGACAAATTTTCAGCAGTTAATGTTCACATCACCTGAATGCTTGGTGAAAAAAGATGTTTATACATGTTCTTTATACATTTTCGTGAACACAGGCGACATGTTCGACACACAGGGATCCACACAGACACGGACATGTATATGCATCACGTACACGGGACTATGTACACATACACCAGCGCCCCCACACACACACACACACGAAATAAAGAAATAATTCATTATAACGAAATAAAAAAAATAAAGAATGAATGAAAAATATTATTTTATCTATTTTAATTTAATTGCACGCATCACATGTAGCATCAGAGTTGAATAAAGCTCATATCATTGGATGATTTATAAACATTTAGATCGTTTACGTATCATTTCATGATAATACGTACTATCATTTTTTCTATCATTGTTATTGTCAACGAGAAATAAAAACATCGAGGATGATATAATAAATTCGATGCAATGATAGGATGATACGTTACATTGTATCATTATCATGATACGTTATAGTGTATCATTATCATGAATTTCATAGCCTCTTCCTTCACAATCATCTAATTTAATCACAATGATTTGCATCTTCGCAGAGGTGACAACCCGATCATAATGATGGCAATGATAATGATGGTAGAGCTGCCATTATTATCTCTACATAAATATAACTCGTTCCCACTAGGGAATATATTAAAATAATTTCTATCGTATTTGCTTTGGTCAAAATTAAATGAAAATATAAAATCACAAGGATTTCGGATTCGTAAAATAAGCCCAATTTATTTCAGAAATTTTATATAAATTTATACCCCACAATAAACCCAATTTTTTAACAAGGACTTAATACCAAAAAGAAATTAATTATGTTACTTTTTTGCAATAACACTCAGATAAACTAACGGCTCACATTGTCTAAAAAGCGACACACTTTCCACGCGTAGCACTGATACAACTGGGTCAGAATGACTCACAAAATGCACCTACAAAATGTGTATCACTATTAGGAAAGGTTTAATTTTCCTCAGGTAAGAATATCATTGTGAATACTAACAGCTTTATGATTAATATAGTTTCCCATACAACATAAACCTTCATGAAATGAATCTTAGGTAGGAATAGCATTGCAAGAACTTCGTCCGTCGTGAAGTAAAGGGAAAAATAGCATTATTTAACTCGTCAAAAAAGGGCGCTGTCTTAGGAAAAGTCCTCACACAAAGGGCGCCACCCCACGGTAGGCACACACACAAAGGGCGCCGCCTCACGATAGGAACACACAAAGGGCGCCGCCTCACGATAGGCACACACACGAAGGGCGCCGCCTCACGACAGGCACACACACGAAGGGCGCCGCCTCACGATAGGCACACACACGAAGGGCGCCGCCTCACGACAGGCACACACACGAAGGGCGCCGCCTCACGATAGGCACACACACAAAGGGCGCCGCCCCACGATAGGCACACACACAAAGGGCGCCGTCTCACGATAGGCACACACACAAAGGGCGCCGCCTCACGACAGGCACACACACAAAGGGCGCCGCCTCACGACAGGCACACACACAAAGGGCGCCGCCCCACGATAGGCACACACACAAAGGGCGCCGTCTCACGACAGGCACACACACAAAGGGCGCCACACAAGATAGGCGCAGCCAAACAAGTCCTAAGCAAAGGGCGCTGATCACAATGGGTCACATTCAAAGGGCGCTGCATACAACAGGTGTCTATCCAGGGGCGCCACCCAGAACATGTCCCTACACAAAGGGCGCTGCAACAAAGGGCGCTGCCCACACACCAGACGCCACACATAATAATTTCATGTACAAAGGGCGCCACCCGCAGACGGTCAATACACAGAGGGCGTCAAGCAAAACAAGACCTACACAGAGGGCACCACACACATTAGATCGTACACAAAGGGCGTCATTCACGCAGTGTTCTTATAAAAGAAGGTCCTCACGCAGGGCGTCGCCCTACAAGAGGTTTGCACAAAGGGCGTCACCCTACAGACGGCCCCCACAAAGAGTGCCGCCCTAAAGAAGGCTCTCACAAAGGGCGCCGCCCTACAGAAGGCCCCCACAAAGGGCGTCGCCCTACAAGAGGCTTGCACGAAGGGCGTCGCCCTAAAGAAGGCTCCCACAAAGGGCGCCGCCCTACAGACGGCCCTCACGCAGGGCGCCGCCCTACAGCTCCATGTCCTGCGCCTCGTCTTCAGAGAAGTCGGTGAGGGAGGACTCGCTGCTCGTGTCGTCTGTTGATGAGACCAGCAGTGAGTGATGCATAGTGATGCAGTGATATCATTCATATGCTGCATATATCATTAATATGATGTGTGATATCATTCATATGCTGATGTGTGATATCATTCATATGCTGATGTTTGATATCATTGATACCTATGCTATGTGATGTCATTAACACTCTACCGCCTGACACAAGTAACCGGAGCAATATTGTCACAAAGGATACGTTCCGAAAAAATTCCTGCTTCCCAAAAAGGATACGTTCTAGTGAGCGCAAAATGACTTGCACTGATGGTTGCCGCCACGTACGACAACTTTAAAATGTTCTCTGTTGCGTACAAACGTCCTCAGGTTGCTACACTCAATAGTTTTCTCTTATACACATCTAGATGTGTATAAGAGACAGGGACTCCAGCACTCTCAGGACTCCAGCACTCTCAGGACTCCAGCACTCTCAGGACTCCAGCACTCTCAGGACTCCAGCACTCTCAGGACTCCAGCACTCTCAGGACTCCTGCACTCTCAGGACTCCTGCACTCTCAGGACTCCTGCACTCTCAGGACTCCAGCACTCTCAGGACTCCAGCACTCTCAGGACTCCAGAACTCTCAGGACTCCAGAACTCTCAGGACTCCAGAACTCTCAGGACTCCAGAACTCTCAGGACTCCATCACTCTCAGGACTCCTGCACTCTCAGGACTCCAGCACTCTCAGGACTCCTGCACTCTCAGGACCCCTGCACTCTCAGGACCTCAGCACTCTCAGGACCCCTGCACTCTCAGGACCCCTGCACTCTCAGGACCCCTGCACTCTCAGGACCCCTGCACTCTCACATTGTTCTCACAAGACCAAATATAACCTGTTACCTGCCAATTCCAAAGAACCAGCTGTATCTAAAATGAAATTCTAGTTCCAAGACTCTTAAATCTAAAATGATACTTACCATTGTTTATTACTAATATATTAAACCTCATGATTTCCAACCTGCATTGGGATTATTTCCTCTTCAACAAAAAAGAGGTCTAGGACCAATTGTTTCCTGCTATCAGCTCACTTTACAAGAATTCCCCTTTTTAGCGCATTTTCTCATTTATGGAAAAAATGCACTATTGTGCTCGCCATGTCCGTCCGTCCGTCTGTTCGTCCGTCCGTGACCTCAAGTTTTTGTCGACGAGAAAATGCGCTCTCTGTCACTCACTGCAGTGAGTACTGAGTTATATTTTTTCCAAGTTCACTGAGCTCCAATCGAATGTTTCTATCTCAATATGCCATATTTTCTCATGTCTTTATGGACCCACCATATAAAGCGGTCCAGGCCTGGTTGATGACATCAAGGCACACGGTGCCCGAGACTTCATCAATGTTTGGGTGGAAAACTTTGTTGATGAAGCCAATGGAGGGGGACTTGAAGGGGTAGTGGTCGGGCAACAGCACCCGCACTTTCCACACGCCGCCCTCGTATGGAGCTAAATACGTCAAAAAATAAATTAACCTTAATTAAATTGAAAATTCTTGAATCATTTGGTGTGATATAAAAAGAAGCATGACTAAAAATTTAAAATATATATAGTTGAGTAGTTGAAAAAATTACCAAGATAAGAAATATGATAAGATAACATTGTACGAGTACCTATAACAAATAAGGACACAGCTGTTGCAATGAAACTTTACTGCACACAACTGTCAGAAAACTTAACTGGACATTAAATAGTTTCATGCTCAAAATATGTTACATTTTATTTCCACAAAATATAGCCTATGTTATCATGATGCCGTAAAACAGGGTGACTTGGATCATTTTTGGCACTTACCTTTTCATGATGCAACCTAGTAAATGTACAAAAAAATATCTCTTTGTTGAATTAGTAGGTGATCTCATGGCAACTTCAGGAGCCATCTACACAACTTTCATAAGAAAAGAATTATTTTTAGTTTACCTAGTTAGTTCAGTTTAGTCAGACAAGAATTTTTTAATTTTTAAGACAGGAAGGAAGAGAACCCTATATATTTAGGCTTCTCTTGTCAGAAATGTTAAAATGGTCCAAGTCACCCCATTAATGGTCAAGTCACTCATTTTATGGTGCTCTGATGTCACAATAATTGGACTGTTTCCACATTAACTAGACTATTTTGTTGGGATCAAATAATGAGCCCACAAATTCATAGACTAACTTTGCTTTGGTCCATAAAATTTGACACAGAACTCGTTGAGGCCGGCAAGCATCGTGACCTCATATTTCTTCTCTATCCTGGTGGCAGGGGCTAAGGAAATGTACGCAAAAATTCTGGCAGACAATCCTTTAAAATATAGGTACATCGTATATACAAATCAGTCAGACCCATACATACATTGGTGATTAAATATGTGAATGAAAAATATTAAATAAACCCAACTTTTATGTGAATGAAAAATATTAAATAAACCCAATTAAATATGCTAAAATAAATTGCTATGCATTGCACAATTGCTGCAATTATTGATAGAGGTGTATGTACTTATATAATAATAAATAAGTCATTATTTATTCAAGAATATCTTGCTTCTTTGAGTACAATGTCAGGAACATCAATAGAATGCATCTTAACCAAATTTATAATAGTTGTATCCAAGACATGTGAAACACCTTTCCAGTTTCTCAGCATACTATACAGGAATGCATCTGTATATACTCAACAGAAGATCAACTAAAATGAAATTAATTATTCATTTATTTATGAAATTAATTAATCTTTACAATTCTTAGGGAGTTGATGACAGGTTGCCCAAACAATCTTAGGTGCAAAGTATGTTTTACAAACATTACAAATTAACATTACATAAAAAAACAATTACATGACAAGTTAGTCAGAATGTTCCAATGAATTTACTTATACCTGCCAAATTCCACAAAATGCATGTTAATCCAACACTTAGTTACATGTTGTAATTCAATGCTTATAGAAGTAATGATATAATATATTACATACATAACGAGTTATCAAGCTCAAATTTCTTACCTAATTAAATTTTCTTAAACAAAAAATTTCCAATCATACACTGAACAAATTAATCAAAAAATCTGAGAGCAAACTGAGTATATTAAAGTATTTTATATCCATGTAAATTCAAAGTATTTTCATTGAGAAAGATACCAGCCAGATGATCAGTTCAAAACTCCAGTGATACAAGCAGAATCAAATGAAGTAGTAATCAAATTTAATGCAAATGAAGTCATTAAATTTTATTCTTACATTTCCTTATCTCAAACTGATAGTAAAGTTGGTCTATAAAAATTGTTTGAATTTTTTTATACCTACACATTTACTTAGCGTTCTCCCCACTTTCAATTTCTGGTAAATGCGCAATTAAAGCAAACTCGTGTTAATCAGTACATAAAAGAGGAACTGCATGCAATATTCAAGTACCATACCGTACTGTCAAAGAGGTACGTAATAAGGGACAATTTTGAGCGTTTTTTTTATTGATAACTTCTTATCATGAAACATTTCATTAATGAGTTTGGGCCCATTTTAAAAGCCTTTATGAGGCCAACATTTGGCATCATCAAAAAGTTTCCATATGATTCCATTTATAAGCCAGGAATTTAAAAGCAAAGAAAATAGCAAAAAATTTCACCATTTCTTATAAGAGAAAACGTTTCGGAGTCCAGCTCCATTGTCAGTTCAAAACCTAGAACACAGGTACAAGCAATTAGTAACCTAAAATTCACATTCAAACAATTCACCTAAACTTGAGGACATTAGAACTAAAATCGAAAATAACAGAAATAAAAATGAGATGACATGTAGAGAAAGTACTATCTATTTACAATTTGTAGAGGATAGGATTTTACCACCAATCAATATACGGTAGACAATACTTACATGTTTGTGGACCGTTTGAAGAGTTTCAATAATATTCAGAGCTTGACTATGGCTTCATTTGATGTAGAAAATTTGTTCACTAACATACCTCTTTCTGAAACTATTGATATTTGCCTCAATTCTTTGTTTAAAGGTGTCAATGAACTTGTCATGGGTCTGAACTGCAACTTTTTTAAATCTTTTCTCGAATTATCAGTTTTGAACTCTGTTTTTGTATTTGCTGGCAAATTTTTAGGCAAATTGATGGTCTAGGCATGGGTCTTCCTCTCGGCCCTACCTTTGCTAATATTTTCATGTGTTACCACGAGGCTAACTGGCTGGCAAATTGTCCTTTTGATTTTAAGCCAATTTTCTACAACTGATATGTATTTGATACATTTGTACTTTTCAAACATCCCTCTCATGTGGACCGTTTCTTTGATTATCTTAATCGCCAACACAAATCCATCAAATTTACTATGGAGCTTGAATCCAACAATAGTTTATGCTTTCTTGATTGCAAGGTCATAAAATGCGGTGGCTGTTTGCAGACAACTGTGTACAGAAAATCAACGTTACCGGCTTAAGCACCAGCTTTTTTAGCTTCTGTTCTTTTCGTTTCAAATTAAATGGGATTCAAACATTATTAAACTGCGGTTTCCAAATTTGCTCTACTTTCCATAGTACGTATGCACACTGAATTTGAATATTTGCGCAGTATGTTCTCACTGAATGGGTTTCCTTCACAATTTGTGTATACTCAAATTAAGAAATTCTTGTCTAAACAATATGCTGAGGTGGTTCCCGAACGTGACAATAGGAATCGTGTTTATTGTTCTTTTCCTTACTTTGGCCCCGCATCTGAGACGATGGCAAAGGAGTTGAAAGATCTATTCTCTAAATACCTCCCAAATGTAAATCTTAATGTATTGCTAGTGAACAATTTTAAAATTAGCTCGTTTTTCAAGTACAGCAATCCCTTGATTAGCACGGTTTTGAATACCGCGGTTTTGATTAACGCAGAAAAAAAATTTGCAACCAACCCTTAATCTACGCGGTGCCAGTTTTGATTAGCGCGACTTTTTTTTCACAACGCATCATTTTCCCACCTCTAGCCAGAGGTGTTACGTTCGTAACAAAAGTGTTACTTTTTGCTTATTAGATCTTTTGTTGTTACTTTTGTAACGACTTTTGGAAATATTCACCAAATGTTGTTACTTTATGAATTTCAGCCAATGATTCTTTAAATAAGGTCCCGTTCCGTAGGCACTCGTGCTGACTACAGCGTCGGTTTAAACGCGCCTTGTCTCGTTCGTAACTCGAATGGTCGAGTTTGGCAACGTTCGCCGGTGAGTGCGCCATGCCGGTGCTCTAGTTACTCGTTAGCCTTCAACTGGTCAAGATCGCTGCCATATCTACTGCTCACTTTTATCAAACTACATAATTTTCCTTGATAAATTACCGTCATAATTATGGACAAAAAGGGAATGCTTAAACAAATTGCTTGTACCTGTGTTCTAGGTTTTGAACTGACGATGGAGCTGGACTCCGAAACGTTTTCTCTTATAAGAAATGGTGAAATTTTTGGCTATTTTCTTTGCTTTTAAATTCCTGGTAAATTTGCGACTTAAGCAGCCAAGTGATTTTAATACTTATATCCATTTATAAGGTGCCAGACACAAAACAAAAGTGTCCTAAATTACTCCTGGGAATGCGGTAATCTGGGACACTTGAGAAAAAAATTAATTTTAAAACATTTGAAGCATGCAGTGTATTCATTCATTACTAACAGTACTCTGAAGCCCTCCTTTTCCTTTGCATATGATGCAGATGTATAAAAATGGCATATTCTGTGATTTTTACTTGTTTTTCCTTTACTGATATTTTACCATATCCATACATTACCATATTATTGATGTGATATTATCATATCCATACACATAGACAGGTGCCTTTATTACCCCCTCTTGCAGAAATGGCCACCATTTTTGTTTTGGATTGAGGTATGAAAATTTGTTTGATGAAGTTTTAAAGCCAACACCTGTCAGCCACTTTTTTTAAAGCAAAATTTTTTTAATACTGCAAATATTTTTTTACTTAGACCTTTAGAGAAGTAAATTTCTGAAATATCCCTTTTTTTCAGGGATATTTTACAGCTAGTAAATGTACAATTTCTTAACTTACCTTATGCTACATAGATAGAAAAAAATGTTGAGGTTTATGCCACTATTTATAGTTTTGCAATATTTCAATTAGTTACTCTGCTCTAACATTTTACACTGTGGCGGAGGTCTGTCCCAATTTACCCCGCCCGTCCCTTATTGCCTTGTTTAATGGTATGGTTTACATAAGTCTCTTGATATTGATTGCTAATGTCAGGTAGGTACTAAATATGTGCTCATAATACTAAGTTTTCATAAGTTAATAAGTTTAAGTACAAGTTCATAATACTAAAAGTTTTATCCTTGTAGTTCAATGCTTGGATATAAGTGATATTCATCACCTGAAATGAGAATTTTCAAGTAAAACTTGAAAATTAATGTCACATGAAATCCTCCATTACTAGTCTGTAACCAAGTCAGTCTGTGAAAAGTTTTCTACAAGTTACAGCCAGAAGGGAGATCATATAGAATGAAATTACTGTACCACATGTTTATTTGTTTATATTCAACAATAACAAACAACTTATTTAATTTAATAAATTTAATAAGAATTGAAGCATATTTCAAGTCTAGAATGGCCTACAAATCCTTACTAATAATACCTTCTTTATGTACTCATAGTGTGGGATGCCAATCTTGTCAACGATGTCATTAAATCATCATGGTGTGTGCACTTCAAGCATATCATATTTGGTATGTATTATTTTGTAAAGATTTCCCAATTCTCTACCCATTTCAACTTACTTATGCTTTTGCATGGTTTGCATTGTGAGATGGGTCTTCTCATGCCTCTTAATTTAAGCAACTCTGATAACAGATTGCTTTAACATAACATAACATAGTGATGTCGGCGCTGAAGTGTAGGCCTGATGTGGCCTGTCGCCGATTCTTTTCCTTTTCGTGCCTTGTCTAATGTTTCTGACTTTCTTTAAATTAAGGTCAGTGCCTGAAAAAATACATGCATGTGAACAAAAAAAAATATTTAAATGTGGAAACTATTTTAAGGCTTTGCAAGTTCCATTATTCTTGACATAGGCATTCATCTAATAGCAGAGTAATATTTTTGTTGTAGTATGTCAAAATAACTGTTATTATGAAAGTCAATATTCACTCTTGGACTAAATTTAAACCTATGCAGTCTTACATGGGAAGAAAACAGACATTTCTTTTCTAGTAGCCTTGCAATGCCTCTTCCTGTTCTATCAGATTTGAATGATCTCTTGCCATGACCAATAGACTGTGCAATTCTTTCTGATCTGATAGCAAGTAAAAGCAACACACTCTACTTGCTGCTAATTTTTCATCACCAGTGGCCTTTGCAGCCTTGCAGGAATTGGCAACCTAACTCAACTTCTTTTCCAATTCACTTTGGAAGTTATGTAAATTGTATTGTATCAGCATATGTATAATTAAGAAACAAAGTCACATGGTGTTATGCCAGAACATATGATGCCTCCTTCAAAATGGCAACTTGTTCTGCAAATTTTTTTTATTGACACTCAAAGTAATACTTCATTCTAAATATTGAATCTTACAAAATAATTAAATATTTTATATTACTTATTATTGCAAGATAATATATTATAATATTGCAAGATCTTTGGCACCACTTCGGTAGCAAAATTTACACCTTCAGAAGATCTTGCCAACACATTTAGATTGAAATTTTTGCATTTAATATAATTGTCAGTCTTTGGCCAACTATTTAGAAAAAAGTAAGGTTTCCGGTACGTTGGATGGATCAGGATGCAGTAAAGCTTGTCCGGAAATCGGTTGCAATGAGTTCCCACCAAAAAAAATGTAAACAAAATCATAGTTGTGGTCACATTAGAGCGGTAAAACTGCATCATCACATGTTCAGTTGACACTTGCTGTACAATCGGACTGTTTTTAGGGTAAGATTAGTTATTTGGGGTAACACGTCCATGCAACCTTGTAAATAATTTCGTGGCGTGTAAATAGTTTTTCATTGCTCAGCGTAAATGGCTTTTCATTAAAAATTACCTGGCGACGCATCTTGCAAATGGTCGGCGACGCTTTGGGCTTAAAACCCATATATTGGCGACGCTCAGAGGTGGGCAATAGCGCGCTACATGTAGCAGCCGCTACTGGTGGCTGCTACATTTTCAGTAGCGGTAGCAGCGCTACATTCAAGCAATTGTAGCGGTAGCGGTAGCGCCCACTACATATTTAAGTAGCCATACGAGGTTTTGCCGCTACAGCGCTACTGCTACATTTATAGATAAAGCCTTCAGATTTTACTTAATAGTATTAAATATTATTTAAAAACCAGCATGATACATACATAATATAAATTACAGAATAAAAGTGTACGAAAGATTTCGGTGTAATGTTGTCAACCTCAGCCTGTTACTAGTGTCAACATGTTAGTTGTTAGGTACTTGTTAAGTTGTTACTTGTTAAGTTGTAACCAGTTACCACTTACAGGTATTTTTTCATGTTTCAGTTTGCTTAGTTATTTTTTACACAGTTATTTTTATGTTTCACCTTCCCTACATGGATGTCTACTTTAATCTACCAATCTCAAAAATAATCCACATATATATACAAATAAAAGACTTATTTTTTATATGCATGTGGATAAATTTTCAGATTGGCAGATTAAAGTAGACATCCATGTAGGGAAGGTAAAACATAAAAATAACTAACTTTTATTTACTGTATCTAACCCATACTAGTTTGCTTAGGTTAATTGTAATAACGTTGCATTGATATGTTTTGAAAATTTTTTATTACCATCATTAAATGTTTATGAGTAGGTAAATCCCAATAGCAGAACAATAAATATTTATAGGTTTCCAATAATTTTGGCCATTGTAGCGGCGCTACATTTTACAGTAGCGGTAGCGGTCGCTACAATCTAGTGGGTATAGCGGTAGCGGTAGCGCCCACTACATTTAGAGCATGTAGCGGTAGCGCTGCTACATTTCAATGTAGCGCTGCCCAGCTCTGGCAACGCTGCTTCCACCTTCTGCACCCTGGGTCAAGTTAATGTTATGTTCTTGTAAATTTGCAGTTTTCCCCTCATTTACAAAATGCAATCTGTGTGATTTTTTCCTATCTTCCTACATCACATCTATACTGTAATCATGCAGGCAATGATTCTAAAAAGTTGCAGCTGGGTTGCAGACAGGGTGGCCATGGGTGCGGCAACAGTCATAAGTCATAACCATCAAAAGTACAGTCTCTGGGTGCCAGGCTGCCAACCAAATCTGTGATTCTGTGGTGCATGGTAACACCTTCCTAACCAATGCAGTTAGAACATACCATGCAAAATCAAGCGTCCATGGGTGCAGCAACAGTCACAGTTGCATCGGGAGTCCTGCCTCCAGGCAGGATTGGAATTTTCCTACTTATTTCTGAAATCTTGCGGCTCCAATGTGATGAATTTTTAATACAATTGGAATCTCACAGCCCGATAGTACACTTTTGTTTACAATTAGATAGGAGGTTATTCATCTGGCAGAAATCTCGTGGTTCCGGAAAAGGCCGGAAAGCTTTAGTCGCAGCCCTAAAGGTAGATGCTTTCTATGCTTGCCTCCAGGGTGCCTGAATCACTCTGCCCTTAAGTTGGTTGTTACTAGGAGCAAGCGGCCTTCACCTGGACCAATAAATACTGGCATTCCTAGAATTCAACCATGAGGGGCCATAGAAACAGGTGGAACTCGTAAAGAAAAATTTACCATAAGCCCCAGGCTTATAAGGCAAAAATATGATAATACAGCATAGGTCTAGTAATGGGGCTTTCTTCAGTGCTTGAAGTTAATTGCACCTATTCCTATAGCCTTTGCCTAATATAATTAATAAAAAAAAACAAGAAAAACAGCATATTTAAGGCTGGGATTTTCTTATTTCAATTATAAAACCTAGGTTTCCTCCTAAAATTTTTGAAAATCCAGACTGACATTACAGAATGAGGTTAAAATGACCACAAGCATCAGAACTTTTATGTCTTTTTCACAGGTGGTTTCTGCTAATTTTCCAGTTTGTGATGGTAATAGGCTGCCACACTCAGGAAGATGTATATAAACGGGGAAATTTCTCGCGTAAATCAATCTAATTATATTTTGTTCGCGCAGACGTTCGTGCAAATCACGGTCATCGATTCCGCGCCGCGCAGCACTCGGCGCGGGCCGCGGAGCCGTCCGACACAGTTCTGATTTAGACACGGTTTTCATCTGAATGGAATGGCAACATCGTCTGTAGATGATTTCAAGTAATGCTGAACCTGTGAACCAGCATTGCCAGATGGTATATTTCTATACCAGATTTCACAAATCTGGTATTTTCAAAAGGTGTCTGGTATGAATATTTTAGATCTGGTATATATGCCTAAATCTGGTATTTTTCTGGTATTTTCTGATTTACTGCAAATTTACTGCATTTAGTTCCACCTCTGAAGTTTGAACTTCCTCCAGCATAGGCGTGGATTATATTATTATTTATATGAATTGCCTTCAGAGCGGCGCGATTAGAGCTTTCCCCCCATTTTTGGAACCGCAAGTTTACCGCAAGTTTTCATGTCAACCGGAACTCGAACACCACAGCAGAGAGTATTTTATGCAGCTAATGAATTTCGCAAACTTTGCTGGAAGAGAGATTATTGAATTTTAGAAAAAAGGCAGGATAATTCAATGAAGGCTATACGGCGCACCGCGCAGGTCGTTAAAATGACAATATAAATTCCCGCGCACCTGGCACATCTTCCTGACCATGGATAGGCTGTAAGCTTAATAGTTTATAATTATATTTTCCAACACAGGATTTTGATAACTGCCTATTTGAGTATTTCACTATTTGTGCAAATTGTGTAGAATTGGCTTATAAATGAAAATTAATTGGTTTCTGCTACTTGATTATTATGCCAATTTCAAAGGCAGCAAACTTGCTTCCAAGCAAACTATTTTCTGATCATAGAGTGAAAAAAAAAATTCTAAAAATGTCCTAATTTTTCTGCAAAATTAAGAAACCTTAAATCTAATTGAATATTGATGCAATACAAAATTTACAGCAGTACTGCAGTACAATAAGTATTAGGAGTTGAAAATAAGAGAGAGTGAAAGGTTCAAGAGTAATTTATATCAATTGCAATAATAAAGATCATTTCGAAAACAAGTGAAGGGGTAAAAAAAAACGGCAGTTGCCTAACGTGACGTCACAGTTGCACACATAGCTGGTTCAGCCACATCATAATATACAATTCATCATGAATTTTGCAAATAAAGGATACAATTTTATGATATCGGTGTCCATACGACGCTTTCCTGCACTGGGTGACGACATTTCAGGACGTTTAGGATGCCAGATCCTCACGAAATGCTGTATAAAGAGAGGAGCAACGACTTCGCACCTGCCTCCTTAGCTGTAGTTCCTGTCCGTTGACAAAGACACGACCTCAACCAAGGCAAGAAATGCAATCACTACACTTCGTACAAATAAGGCTGAGCTATTGCCCTCTAGTGGAGAAATATAAACTACTATATTTATTTGCTCATAAAATTTCTTTGAAAAATTAAATTATGTTATATAAACTTTTTATGCCTCGAAAAGATTTATAATGTTTGCTTCATGTCACCATGCAGACAATCAAAGTTATTTGTTTTGTAGTTCAAATGTTTGCCACGAGGGGCCGGTTGAGTTTCAGAGTGACTCGGAAAGACTCAATATCTCACATAAAAACTACTATACGTAGATGCGTGACGTAAAATACGTCACAGCTGGCTAAGCAGCTCGTAAATTTATAATCTTATTAAAATTGATAAGTCCTATGATGAATGATGCTTACAGACCAGAAATGTGGTAATGTAATGTTCATTTTCGATGTTCATGATTTTGAAATATTACCATAAATTGCATTCGAAACCATTTAACATCGATCAGCTGTGAATTTCTAGAAATGTATCTGATATATGAGTCGTTATTTGAACTAGCAGCAAAGATAAAACTAAGATTATATCAATAAGAAAATTTTAAATGCATTTACTGAGTTTTTAAGTAATTTAAAAGTTTTTGTAGGAATCGTAGATTCAAATGTAGCTGCGCAATCAAGTTCTTTGTGCAAAGCTATCTACTTTCAAGCTTAAGCTCCGCCTACCAAGGTCACGTGACAGATCAGCTGACGGTGTAAACAACGTCCTAGCATGGTCGACAACCAAGATATTTTCGCTCCGTTTTCTGTGATTCAGATTAGTGTTTTGCAAAAATAACAACTGTTCAAACAAATTACGTAGATAAAATGCCTCAATTCTGTCGAACCGCGTCCTCTTCAGAACATATAACGGGAAATGTACTTTTACTATGCGATGGCATAGCACCATACGCAAATCCCAGTTTGAGTATATGGGGACAACTCAGGATCCGGGAAATGAAAAATTAAAAAATATTGACACTGCTATATGCCAATATATAACTTTTGGCCAAAAACATCATAGTTTTTGGGTAATGTTGAGCTCATTTTTCTTGTGCAATATTGATTTATTAGTTTTTAGGTCACAATATCGATAAAATAGAATAGATTGGAAGTGTCGGCACTGAAGACATGGCCGTTGCCGATTCTTGAATTTTTCGCTCCTTGATTCACAAGGGATCCGGCCTTTGGAACCCGATCTTTCCATAACTGACGATTGATTGAGATAGCTGCTGGACTTATTGCCTGGTCCGTAATTTGCTAGGCATTTTAAGACTGAACATATGCTCCTGCATAGCTTCGTCTAGTCTGTTCTTGAAGGCGTTCATACTCGGAGCGTCAACGATGCTATCAGGGAGGCTGTTCCACATGTCGGTGACTCGAGGCGAGAAGAAATGTTGTCGCATGGATGTGTTACAACGCAGTTTTTTTAGTTTATAGCCGGGGCCACTAGCTGGTGTTGGTTCTTGTTTCATATCCTAGGTCTCCTTGCATAAACCGTGGGTATAGTATATGTATACCTCATTGAGGTAACCACGCAGACGTCGATAACAGAGGCGTGGGCACTTCATAGTCTCCAATCATTCTTCTTAAGCATAGCATAGCATAGTGATGTCGGCGCTGAAGAGTAGGCCTGATGTGGCCTGTCGCCGATTCTTTTCCATTTCGTGCCTTGTTCATAGATCTAAACTCGTGTCATTTGACCGGATCTTTTCATGACTGGCGATAGTTTGAAGAAGCTACTAGACTTCCACTGGGTTCGATATGGTGCTAGGCATTTCAAGTCTGAACATATATTTTTCCATAGATTTAACTAGTCTCTTCTTGAACGCGTTCATACTCGGAACGCCAACGATGCTATCAGGGTATTCCACATGTCGGTGATTCGGGATTATATATACACTTGTAATCCTAGAATAATCCTTGTACATATGAAATACATGAAATATACGTATAAAATTCGTAGATTTCAAGAATTAAGTGACAGAATCGACTCTCCCGAAGTCTCCCGCGAACCCATTAGCCGCACACCACATCGCCACTTCGGCTACTCATTTCCTGGTTTTCTATGCATAAGTTTGTCGGAACCGATCTGAACCAGATTGAAAATTGAGATCTTTATTGACAATACGCTATGATCGACAATTTTTCTTTGTCCGCTCCGGTCTTAATAAAGCAGATGAACGCTAAGTTTTAGCAGGTTTTCCATTCATAATTTCGTCAAATCGGAACCGATCTTAACTTAATTAACAACGAAGCTATTTATTCACAATATACATTATTCACAATCCACTCCTACATGCGTTGACAGACTTTTGCTAATATAATGTTTCCACGTTTTTTTAATGTTAATGTTGCATGAAACATATAATGTTTTTATAATATGCTTGTCCGCTTCGTTTCAACGTGGCACGCTACAAAATAAATTAGACGATTAAAGGGAGCCAAAACTTGAAAAAGCGTGTGTGAATATTGTGAGGGTAGAATTATTATTGTGAATGAATAGCTTCTTTGTTAATCAGGTCCAGATCGGTTCCATTTTAACGAAATTATGCGTGAAAAACCTGCTATGGAAATTTGTTGCAAAAGTGTCGATGGGTTCAACGGACTTACACGTTAAACGCAATTCTTGCGCTCATAATTTCCACGATTATTGATGGATTTGAATTAAATTTATAACATTCAATTTATAACATTAATCCGCAATTGGAATTATTACAGATATTTGCGACAAGTTTTTTTTTATTGTGATGACATTTTGCAGAAATTGCGTGAGTTTTGGTTGAGATAATTTAAGTTAAGATAGGTTGATATAGTTTAGGTTAAGATCTGTTTATATAGGTTAAGATAAGTTAGGTTAGGTTAATCAAGCTGGTACAGATAAGTCACTACGATGCGATGATAGGCAAACCAAACCAATCCTAACATGACATAACCTAATTTTTTTAATAAAAAAATATATCAAAGAATATGATAAAAAATAAATATAAGCATATGAATATAATAAAAATCATTATAATAAGAAAAATATAACTCAGTACTGACTGCAGTGAGTGACAGAGAGCGCATTTTCTCGTCGACAAAAACGTGGTCACGGACGGACGGACAGACAAACAGACGGACGGACATGACGAGCACAATAGCGCCTTTTTTCCATAAATGAGAAAATGCGCTAAAAAATAACTGCCGTTAAGATCAGTAATAATTCTTAATGCTGCACATCGATAATAATTATTTATATTAGAAACTTCATTTCAATCCGTTCAGAATTGTGGAATTTATGAGCTGTTGAGTTTTTTTAAAAGTTGCGTTTTGAGTCCACGGGCGAGTTGGGTGAGGTCTAGTCGCAAGGTAACTAAGTTAACTATTGGACACGATTGAGTAATGTGGACATGTTATTAATGAAGAAAACAATATTTCAAAGTACCGAATTATGAAAAACTACTTGTTACATATGGAATTAACTGTATTCAACACGTTAATGTGATAAAACAGCATGTTGAGGGATCAAGGATCAAATGAACTTGGGCAATCCAAGCTTTACTGAACAAATGCCCAGTTTTTTTAAGGCCTCCCACACTCACCATTCCAACAAAAAAAAAGAATTGATTTTATTAATTAAAAACAGGGAATGGTTGTGTTTGTTGCCCAGTTACCTGGAAACATAACAACTAATGTAAAATACTTATAAACGCAACACGAAACAATATAACATAACAGTAACAGAGGAAATATATAACAGCTAACAAGTAAGATCCGTAAAGGTAAGGAACGTTGCACTTACATTATAGAACAGCAGGGGTCAGGTCCATTCGTTCTGGCTATTGCATAGAGACTGACAACACTAGTCGCAGCCGGACCACATTACAACTTGCTACATGACATTACGCACTAGTTCTTTATTACGACACAGCATCCATGCGACAACATTTCTTCTCGCTTCGAGTCACCGACATGTGGAACAGCCTCCCTGATAGCATCGTTGACGCTCCGAGTATGAACGCCTTCAAGAACAGACTAGACGAAGCTATGCAGGAGCATATGTTCAGTCTTAAAATGCCTTGCAAATTACGGACCCGGCAATAAGTCCAGCAGCTATCTCAATCAATCGTCAGTTATGGAAAGATCGGGTTCCAAAGGCCGGATCCCTTGTGAATCAAGTCATGAAAAGTACGAGAATAGGCAACAGGCCATGGGCCTATTTCTTCAGTGCCGACACTTCTATTCTATTCTATTCTATTCTATTCTATTCTATTCTATTCTATTCTATTCTATTCTATTCTATTCTATTCTATTCTATTCTATTCTATTCTTTTCTATTCTATTCTATTCTATTCTATTCTATTCTATGTTACAGGTGAAGTATTCTCTATTTAATACGGTAATGTAATGTGTGTTATACATGAAATAAACAAAATTAAACATTTCTAAAGATCACAGTGCAATAATGTATATTATATGCTAAGTAGTACTAATTTTTGGTTATAAGTCACCTAGGTCGTGACCTCGTGTAGATATACTATGTATTTCTTCATTGTTGTGTGATCCACTACGGAAATACGCGTTACGTATAATATTAAATATAACAACTAATATAATAATATATAATATTAAATATAATACTGCTAATATTCAAAATATAATAATACTTAGAAGTCTTTATGATTATTATTTTATACGCATTTTTATTGTGTGTTTATGAAGTTGTTTATTAACACAGTTTTCAGCTCTATTCATCCATACGTGTAAATGCTATAAGATAAGACTAGCCGAGCTGGTATTTCTTGGTGAGCTTAACAACCATTAAAATTAATGCAAAGAACATTTTACAAACTTTAACATGGGAAATTTTTACATTTTACATTTTAACATTTTTAACATGAGAAATTAGTGCAAAAAGTGCAAAAATATGTGAAAAAATAAAATCATTATTGTCATCAAGTCATTTACGCTCGCTATTGTGGTTGTTAAAATAATTAAATGATAATTTTCAAAT